TGGCTTGCATGTTACTGTCATGCTGGAAGCTACGCCACCAGTATTTCAGATGCCACCAGGTTACCCATGCGGGACAAGTTTCAGCAGAGCTTCCAGATTAAGACAGACTAGGAAGAAAGGTCAGGCAATAAAGGCCTGTTGTTGTTGTTAGGTGCTGTTGAGCTGGTTCCATCTCATAGCTACCCTACGTACAACAGAACGCAACACTGCCCGGTCCTGCACCACCCTCACTATCGTTGCTATGTTTGAATCCGTTGTTGCAGCCACTGTGTCAATCCATCTCATTGAGGGTCTTCCTCTTTTTCACTGATCCTCTACTTTACTAAGCATGATATCCTTCTCTAGGGACTGGTCCCTCCTGATAATCTGTCCGAAGTAAGCAAGATGAAGTCTCGCCATCCAAGGAACACTCTGGCTGTACTTCTTCCACAACAGATTTGTTAGTTCTTCCGGCAGTCCATGGTATAGTCAATATTCTTCACCAACACCATAATTCAAAGGCATCAATTCTTCTTCAGTCTTTTTATTCATTGTCCAGCTTTTGCAAGCATATGAGGTGATTGAAAATACCGTGGCTTGGGTCAGGCACATCTTAGTCCTCAAAGTGACATCTTTGCTTTTTAACACTTTGAGGTGGTCTTTGGCAGCAGATTTGCCCAGTGCAACTTGTCGTTTGATTTCTTGGCTGCTGTTTGCATGGGCGTTGATTGTGGTTCCAACTAAAATGAAACCCTTGACGACTTCAACGCTTTCTCCCTTTATCGTGATGTTGCTTATTGGTCCAGCTGTGAAGATTTTTATTTTATGTTGAGCTATAATCCATACTGAAGGCTGTAGTCTTTGATTTTCATCAGTAAGTGCTTCAAGTCCTCTTGACTTTTGGTAAGCAAGGTTGTGTCATTGGCATATCACAGGTTGTTAATGAGTCTTCCGCCAATCCAGATGCTGTGTTCTTCTTCATATAGTCCAGCTTCTCGGATTATTTGCTCAGCATACAGACTTAATAAGTATGGTGAAAGGATACAACCCTGACGCACACCTTTCCTGACTTTACACCATGCAATCTCCCCTTGTTTTGTTCAAACAACTGCCTCTTGGTCTATGTACAGGTTCTGCATGAGCATAATTAAGTGTTCGGGAATTCCCATTCTTCACAATGTTATCCATAATGTGTTATGATCCACACAATCGAACGCCTTTGCATAGTCCATAAAACACAGGTAATCACCTTTCTGGTATTCTCTGCTTTCAGTCAAGATCAATCTGCCATTAGCAATGATATCCCTCAATAAAAGCCTACTTCTGAAATTCAGCCTATGAAAACCTTATGAATTACAACAGAATATTGTCCAGTACAGTGTTGGAAGATGAAGGCCCTAGGTAGAAAGGCACTTGGAATACGCAGTGGCAGCAGCACTGGACTTGAGCATTCCAACGATCTGCTCAATTGCACGTAAGGTCGCCATGATTCGGAGCTGACTTAACAGCAACAACAACGAGCTACTGTAGCATCCCTTGTTTTTAACAAAGCAACGGGTTTCCAAATACCTACTAATTACACTAAAATAAAACTAGAATTTATACACTATCACTTTCTTTTAATAGAAACTTTCCTCTTTTCTTTTATAGACAGTAAGCCCCTTAATTTAGCAAACTATAGTAGCTCTGATGCCACGTAATCTTCTTAAAATGAGGAAATCTTATAAATCAGATCACATCACTCCCTTGCCTAAAAACCTTCAGTGATGTCCCATTTCCCTGGACCTACCACCTGTCTGTTAGTTTGTCAAACTGTGGCGGCTTGCATGCTGCTATGATGCTGGAAGCTATGCTGCTGGAATTTCAAATACCAGCAGGATCACCCATGGTGGACGGGTTTCATTGGGGCTTCCAGACTAAGACAGACTAGGAAGAAAGGCCTGGTGGATCTACTTTTGAAAATCAGGCAATGAAACCCTGTGGATCACAACAGAACAGTGTCCAACTTGCTTGCTTTGGTCATGCCATCAGGAGGGATAAATCGTTGGAGGCCATTACACTTGGTGAAGCAGAGGACTAGTAAGGGTGAGGGAGCCCCTCGGTGAGATGGCCTGGCATAATAGCTATAACAACAGCCTGTATTCGTGAGGATAACGTAGGAGTGTGCAATGTTTCACTCTGTTTTACATAAGATCATCACGAGTCAGAGTCAACTCAGCTGCAGATATCTATGTATCTATCTACCCATCCATCCAACCATCTTCCTGTCTATATCACGGAGGACAGGACTTTGTTTGATCTGGCTCCTCCTCGTTTCCACTTGGCACCACTCCACCCCCCACCCCCCTGGCAGAGCCCTTAACCCACACTGTCCCCTCCGCCTGGAGCTCATGCCTTTAGCATCTCTGCCTGCTCTCTATTCCTCTCTCTCTTTTGGTCTTGGCTGAAACATCATCTCCACAGAGAGGTCTTCCCAAAACCCTCCCCCCCATCCCTTGTTTTCCTTTTCCGTCCTCTTCCTTTGCTTCCTTCATCACACTCTTCCCAATCTGCAATTTTTTAATTCATTTCAAGTCCGCTGACCCCTCTAGAATGCAAGTTTCAGGAGGACAAGAAACACCTCTGTCTTGGTCACTGTTGTATCCCTGATGTCTTCACAGGCAAACACATTGCAGGAGCTGAGGTAACATGCATTGCAGGCTCAGCCACATTCCCTGACAGGATGGACCTATGACTCCAACCTCATTTCAACAGGAAACCTTCTGCAAAAAATACATAAATCTGTGACAGTGACTTCTGAATGTTAATACTCATTTTTTTTTAATCTAGGAAGTGATATTTACTATTATGTTAAATATTCTTTGCTGAAAGTGTTCAAATCATTCACTTTTTTCTTACTCCTACCAACGTGGCATACTTAGTCTTCAACCTTTAAAGACCAAGTGCTCCAAGAAGGTCATTAATGGCAGACCCAATCGAGTTTAAACTCCCACACAAATCCCCAGATGCTGCTTTTGCCACAGAGTCATTTCCAAGACAGGTCTTAAATGTTAACTATCCAAAGACATAAAACACATACTCTCACGTGTACTCAAAGACTCGCAGTGTTTAATGACGTCAGCCCCAAGGAAACTTCTCCAACCATTCCTGCACCGTGCAGCTGCGGTCATGTCACCCAAGCTTACAAAGACCTCTGCTCTAGCCTAGTGTTTGCAGGCCTTCAGGTCCAATTTGTCAATGATGGCGGCTGGTTAATGTTTTCAGACTTAGGATTCTGGAATGTTTTAATCAAGAATAAATAGGTCTATCAGGGGATGCACTTCCCCCTTTAAACCACCTACAGTGGTTGTCGGTTCTGTTTGATTCTGTGCGGCTTCAATATCATTAGTCACTGATTCATCTCTTTGAGAGTCACTTTTGGGGCTAAAAATAACGTGGTGACTTAAATGAACCAACCCTTTTAACATGTGCCTGAGTCAGCAGTGGGGCAGAAGAAGTCAGAAGGAAGGTATGTGTTTGGACGGGTGCCAGTTTATTATGAACCATTCACACGCAAACCACGGGCGCACTGCTGAGTGAGTGCCACACGGCACTAGAAGTGCTTTCCGGTAACTATGAGTAGGGATCCTGAAAAAGGTCTTTAACTTTTTGATTCTTCCAGCATCCCTGTGAGCTAAATAACAGTAACACCACCTTGCATCTGTGGAGTGAGTTACAGTTTACAAAGACCCATGATCTCATGTAACTTACTCTCCCACTCTCATGGGGACACCATGAGGTAAGAGAAGCACCACTTTGAGATAATACTGGAGATGAGGAGCCGCCTGGGAGACCCCGCAGTGGGTGATGGATGATGATGAGTTGGCTCAGAGGCCTGACCTCCCCCGCACTGTGGGATTTTGTGATTAATTCACCCACTTGCTTAGGAAGTTTCCCTCCATCTGAGAAAATTAAAAACACCACTCTCTGGATAGGAACGTGAGATCATAAATGAGAACCAAGGAGAAAAGATTAACGCAAAAGCACAAGCTCAGCAAAAGAGAAAACTTGGAAATCGCTAATAAGGTATAAATCAAATAAAGGCTATTAACAAACTCCTGATAAGGAAAAAAAAGGCTTTTAAATGATTTGCTGAGCTCTTAGCAATACCATTTCTACCTGTAGCTTTCAAATATCTCAAGGTAATTTGTTTTGTATTCTTATACAATGCAAGGGCCACCTTCTCCCTACATCCAAGAGAGACAGAGACAGACAGACTCACAGCGATAAAGAAGACAGCGCTGTAGCAAGGACAGGTTTTCCTTTACCAACGAAATCGTTCTGAAACTAGCACAAAATTCTAGTTTAATGCATCTATTTCCACTTCATGTAAACGCTGCAATAATAAAGCTACTGCGTCTTCTTTTTCTTTTGGGTGAACCAAGACTAGAGTTTCAGAAAGGCATAACCTATTGAACATAATATATTGAAACAATCTACCGAGAATAGAAAAAGCACTTCATTTAAACCGCTAAGATCTAGTAAAGCGGCACGGGTTTGGTGTCCGACATAGGGATACCACAAGTCTCCAAGCCCCTAACTCCCTTGATATATTCCCTAAGGGCCAACTCCCAAGGGAAGAAACACCTCCCACGCACCACCCCCCTTACATTCCCCCAGAGGACACAGCCCTTCGCCCAGTGGGTTTCCAAGGCCCTCAGGGGGGCTGACTCCTCCACTCCTGAGGAACTTGAGCTGGGATTGTAGGGTAATTTTCAGTTTCTAAACAAAGACAGAATCCATCCCCCCCCCACTTCTTGGGGAAGACGTTGGCCCCCATGTCATGTGGCGCTGCAAAATGGTGGCCCACGATTCTCCCAGAGCAGCACAGCCCACTCTTGCTACTTGGGAAGGAATTTCTTTTTGGAAGTTTCCATGGGGGCTCTGGCCAGAAAACCAAGGGAACTTTGGGCTCATCTGTTTCCCAGAAAGCATTTCCAGCTGCGGCGGGATGCCACCAGAGCTGGGAGCACAGCACTTGCCCAGTCGAAGGGTTCATGATGCAGCCGCCTCTCTCAGCAGTCATTCTGCAGTTACAGCCCCTCTCCAGCGTGTCATGGTTCATCCCGAAATTGTGGCCCAGCTCGTGGGCCAGGGTCACGGCCGCGCCAAGGGGGCTGTCTGAATGATCCTCGAAGAAAACACAAGAGCACAGACACAGTTCACATCTCCTCAGCCTCATTTCTCACCCTGTTCATCAACCCCCATTTTTTCCATTTATTACCATTTGACTTAATCCAATTCCCTATCGGGGCACAACATGGAGACCCAGAATTCAGTTTAAACTTAAAAAAAAAAATCAGTGTATTTCACTAGACGAGTTTGAGGCTCCTTCTGCTGAGGAGCGCCTACCTCTCCCCGTGTAGGATCCTTCTATATCTTTAATGAAAAACTCCCAGAAGCCCTCACAAAATGCCATTCACCAGTGAATGAAGCAAAAAGTCCCACATGATAGGAAGCCAAAGTCCACTCCTTCACGGGTAGTCAAAGTACCATTTTATCTCTTGATAGAGAAGTATGCTGACGTGAAGTTCGCAGGAGGAAGCACGTGCTGTGACATTCTAAATAAGACCTGCACAAGTTGTTGTTGAGCACACCTACTGGTTGTCTACCTGGTGGTTGCTGCTAGGTGCTGTGGAGTCAGTTCTGACTCATAGTGACCCTACAGGACACAGTAGAACTGCCCCGTAGGGTTTCCACAGAGCGGCTGGTAGATCCGAACTGCTGACCATTTGGTTAGCAGCCGAGCTCTTAACCACTGCGCCACCAGGGCTCCAACTTGGTCTACCTGGTAGAGGAGGATAATTGGAAAATTCACAGTAACTCACAATAAAAGCTAACCACTGAGTGGTTGCAGACTCACTGAATTAAGATGGCAATCCTGTGATGCCTCCCTCCAGCTGGCCCTTTTCTTATCAGTAGACCTTGGAAATGGATGGAAGTGTCTGATTCTCTGACTGTTCCTGACAGCTGGGCTCAACCTTCTGCTTGGTTGTAGAAGGGGTTTACCATTCAGCAAGTGCTGTCTGGCTGCCCCCCAGTTAGTGAAGCGCTTGGATGACTTGGTTCAAACAGATGTTAGAAAGGAACTAAAAATATACCTACTCAACTTTAACAAACTAAAATTCATTAATTAATGAATGTGAACTGCAATAAGCATGCCCATGAATGGTGTTTCTGAAAAGGCTTGAACACCAGGGAATAATGAAAGGACACTTCTGACTCCTGCTTTGTACTATCCAGAAAAGAGGAAAGAGACTTTCCAAGAGGCTTCCAGGGGACAGTGATGGCTGTTTTATGGCAAACATTATTCCCGATACACATAGTTTGTGGGCCCTTTCAATGAAAGTGCATTCGGGTAAGATCTTATAAATTTGTTGCTGGTATTTACTGCTGCAGCTGCCTGCTTCACTGGCCCGCAGTCTTAAGAGAAGAATGGCATGGCCGGGAACCCGGTTATTCTTAGAATAGATGAAATTCCTAATAAATTACTTCGTTTGGATTCTACAGTTTCCTGTTGTAGGAAGCTTTACAAATATGTTTCAGGAAATCAGTTCTCAAGAATAACACACCCTGGTGAAGAGAATGCAGCCCGTCTACAAATGCGGAAGGCAGAATTTAGCATGCATAGGTACAAAATTCAAGGAATTCACCCTTAAAAAAAATACTGATTCTTTTCTATCCCTGAATATCTTGGTTCAGTTTTTAAATGCCTAATTGTCTGACATTCTTCAGCGCATGTGTGACTATAAGCAGAATGTTACTTAAGAGACCCTGTTTAACAGTTTACATTTGTAATAAGAGGAAAATAGTTAAAAAAACAAAACAAAACAAAAAAACCCTCTAAACTTATGGCATTATCCACAAATCAAGACTGCTATAGTCCAGTTGGATATAAGCGTGTGGCTTAAGTTGCTAAAATGAACGATTTACTCTCTTGACAAAAAGTAGACAAACAATAACCAAAATCATATTTTCATTTTATTAAAATTCCTGCTCCCTTGCCACATTATTTTCTTCCTCTCAGATTTGTGAGTTGGAGGCATGGTCATATATAACATCTCTGTATTCGACTTTAAGACACAACAGAGTAAAGTTAGTCTAGAAGTCTCAGATCTGGTCAAGATGTTGATCTTGTTTATGTCCTGAATATCCTAGAAATCAAAGGAACTGTGGCATTTTCATCCAGCTTGATGTTTCCCTTGAACATGGGATAAACAAGGCATGTCTAAGGGTGACAGTAACGGTGGCCAAATGGGTAAAACACATTGTCTGATGAGTAACTTTGGTCTTCAATGGTTTCTCCTGGCAGGATGTATCATTTGCTACACTTACCACACTCATTTCCTCCATTTTTTATAAAAATTAGGTCTCCGTGTATGTTTTTGAAGAAAGAATACTAATAAAACGACCACATGGAAACAGAAGGGTGGACGTGTGGGCCGAAGCAAACGACTTAATGTGATCACATTGGTTATAGGACCATGAATGCACCACACAGTGGCAGAATCTGCCATGCTTGGGCAGAATTCTGTTTCAGCTCTAAAAACCCACCGGTGGGTTCAAAGTGCTAACCTCTGGATAAGAAGCTGAGTGCTTAACCGTTGCACCACCAGGGCTCCTTAGAATGAAATCTAAAAAGCATTAAAGAAAACCACTTCTCTTCACAAAGTCTGATCAGTGGAGCAGTTTGCAGGGAAGTCATTAAGAAAGCAAAGGGCTCTGGGTATTCCCGTTGGCTCCCCGGCATCCTGGACTTACCATGACGACTCCGCCGGACTGCTCCGCGGTACACATGCTCATGATGGGCGCCATGCCGATGGTGGTCCCTTGGAAATACACCCCGCTAGGAAATACAAGAAAAGGCTTTCTTGAACGTAATATAGAGCAAAGAGATTCTACTATTTGAAATTCTGTTGAACATTCTCGCATTCTGACAGTACTGCAAAAGAATATGCAAAAATGCAGAGAGCTGCCTGAAGGTATGGTCATAGGTGATTTCAACCTTTGTTTATTTCCTTTAAAATTTATTTCACAGTTGCTTTATGGTCCCATCGTTGCTTTGGATTTTAGTTTTCAAGACGCAGGCAATCAACCGTTCTTTCCTTTGGAATTTTAAACCTGGCCCCGCCCAATTCCCGAAGGGGTAACCAAAACCGCCCCCTTTAAACAAGCCGGCCGATGGACGGGCTGAAACAGTGGCAGAGAATCACTGTCAGCTAAACGCATTAGGTCACTTTCTAGGCTTCTGTTGTCGCTGGATTGTGCTTTCCTGTGTAATTCACTGCAAGTGGGCCAGAAACGCAAAATGCTTCCCAATGTCCTGCTCATAAAGCTCACAGAATAGAAACTGGCGGGAAAATGACTGATCACCTGGGGCCGGTGGAGAATAAATAAGCACCCACAAGGCCTCAGGGCCCAGAGGGAAAGTTCTAGAAGGCAGGATCTCTTGGCTTTGGTGCAGGCATCCTCACACCTGGAATTTCATCCTGATCTGACAACACCAAGGGCCTGTTCAGGGTACATGCTGTTAAATCCAATTTCATACATTCAACATTGTGTTTGTTAATCTCCTTGGAAGGAAACGAATGACTTGCTCACGTTATCTTGGTCATGTACATATACAGATTACGCATAGTTTGAAGAGTTAGATATTCTGGCAGTGGCTAACAAGAAGGTGGTAGATGTATATGAAACCCAATCTACGCATATATACCTTTATACTCATATGTACAGTAGTAGGGATAGCAACTTGTATATATACATGTATATAGACCACCGGGGAGTCCCTGGGTGGCGCAAACAGTTGAATGATCAACTACTAACCAAAAGTTTGGAGGTTCAAATTCACCCAGAGATACCTCAGAAGAAAGACCTGGTGATCTACTTCTGAAAGATCACAGCCTTGAAAACACTATGGAGCACAGTTCCACCCTGCAACACATGGGGTTGCCATGAGTCTGAATCGACGCAATGGCAGCTGATTTGGTTTTCTGGTTTTGTATAGACCGTATGAATAGATGAGTTATGTTGTTGCTCTTAGGTGTTGTTGAGCTGGTTCCAACTCATAGCAACCTTGTAGGACAGAGTAGGACTGCCCCATAGGGTTTCCAAGGAGTGGCTGGTGGATTCGAACTGCCGACCTTTATGGTTAGCAGCCGAGCTCTTAATCACTGTGCCACCAGGATACAATTATACATGTATATAAATAATAAGTTATACAAGAGGCTAATTTATTTCCAGATGTTCAAGTTGGACAGATCCCATGTGGGAAAAAAGATCAAAATACTCAGACTCAAAATATCTGAAAGGTACTTTTAGGAGTTCAGGACAAATCAATGCATAAAACATGAGGCAATTACAATATCCAAGAAAAAACCAAAAACCTTATGAAAACGGCCAAAGTCAATGATGAGAGAATGCCAACAGCCTTGGTTCCGGTGCAGGCATTTGGCAAGTGAGGATGGGTAGGACAGTGTAACACTCCACGAACGTTCAATAGACTACATCTGATTTGTCCAAGCAAAATATCTCTGTCCCCAGAGTTTTCACGCCAGTGATACAAGCCACATGAGAACAGAAGACTAACGGCATATGCTATTTAAGGACTTTTAATAAATTAAACGTTTGTCATTTCTGGAAAAATCTACTTCATACCAGTTTATAACTAAGATTTTTCCTTTTAACGATAAAGGTGTCTGTAATACGTTACTGATATATTATGCTGTTATGTTATATTATGTTGTTATGCTATATTACATTGTTTTGTTATGATGTTACGTTGTTATGTTATACTATGATGTTATGTTATATTACGTTGCTATTATATTACATTATGTTGTCACGTTAGATTATGATGTTATGTTATTATTATGTTATGCTATATTATGCTGTTTTGTTATGATGTTATGTTATATTATGTTGTTATGTTATAGTATATTGCTATATTATGTTATGCTATATTATGTTGTTACATTATGCTGTTTTGTTATGATGTTATGCTGTTATGTTATACTATGTTACGTTATAGTATGATGTTGTTATGTTACAGTACGTTTTTATATTATGTTATACTATAGCTATGTTTCCCTCATTATTACGATACTTCTCACTCTCTCAAATTTTGTTAATTCTTGCCTCCTCCCAAGAGACTCAATGGTATCAGGGAGAGTGACTGTCTTGATCACCATTGTGTTCAAAGACCCTAAATCATCATTTGGTTCCTAATAAGTGATCAATACTTGTTGACGGAGCGAAAGAATACCGCTGGTATTCTCTGATCTAGAAACCAAAGAGTAACAGGCAAAACGGGGAGGAATGGAGATTTCCTTCCTCCAGGCATCTGACAATATTCACCCAAATGTACTGTCCTTAGATTTCTTATATTTTTCACTTATAATGAAAAAAAAAAGAGCTTTTAAGAAAAATAGCCTACTCAGGACAACCTTATAGCAAGATTAACCAGTTGTAATTCAAGTTGATTCTGACTCGTAGCTACCCCACGTATGTCAGGTCAGAACCGTGCTCCATAGGGTTTTCAATGACTTTTCAGAAGTAGATCGCGAGGCCTTTCTTCCCAGGTACCTCTGGGTGGACTCGAGCCTTTCTGTTAGCTGTTGAGCACGTAAACCGTTTGCACCATCCAGGAACTCCACAAGGAGTCTTGGTGCAATGGTCAAGTGCCCAGCTGCTAAACGAAAGGTCAGCAGTTCAAACACACTAGTGGCTCCGCTGGCGAACAGACCCGGCAGTCTGCTACTGTAAAGAGTACAGCCTAGGAAACCCTATGGGGCAGTTCCACCCCGTCCCATAGGATCGTTATGAGTCAGAATCAGCTCGACAGTACACAACAACAGGAACTCCATGTCAAGATGAAGACTAGAAAAATCTGCATGGAGAAATCCATCCAGGTGATGAGGAAGGCAATGGAAACACCTGGTTGACGGAGAGTCTTCCCAGGGTGAACGGAGGGAGCCTTGCCTGGCACGCCCACGATGCCGGGTCAGGATGGCTGTGTCTAAGCCCACAGGCTCCGCATAAAGGTCTGTAGCCCCGGGGGCTGTGCAGGGACGGGGGGATGAGAGAAGACAGGGTGCACCGAGGTCCCTACATCCCAAAGTGAAGGAGAGAGCCAGAGCACCCTACCTGATAAGCTGGGCATTGTCGTGGGATTTTCGAGGTAGAAGCTTCATCTTTCTCCAGTCCAGAAACTCATGGAGGCTTGTGAATGGGTCCTGACTTATGGAGCACTTGTCGATGTCATTCCACACTTCCACGCCCACCAGGACGATGCGGATGTTGAGCGCCCTGTAAAACTGAGGAGACAGGCAGCCTTTGGGGACCACATTCATGAGAGCTTAAAGTGGAGATCAGAGCTGATCTGCATTGTTGGGACTTCATTTACATGGCTGAGAAAAATATGTTTATGCTCCTTTTGTTTCCCAGTGGCATTAGAATTTAAGCAATATCTGGAGTCCCTGATGCAATGTGGTGTGTTAAGTGGGTTCTCAAACACTATTGATCAGTTAGATGCTAAAAGTCTGCTCATATTTGTACAGGAGCATTCATTTCAAATGATTCACTGGTGATTTAAAATGTGCATATATATGTATATTATAGCTAAAGACTGCCAGTTATTACCTACTGCAAGAACAGCACTGAGTGAATCAGGAGCTTTCTTACACTTCTGCCAAGGATAATAATTTGTTCATTTTAAGCAAAATGTTCTGCCTATGAGTTACTGAAAATGAGTCTGCTACTAATTTTTCAGCAAAGACTCAGGCTTGGCTGACATGATCATGTTCTGTCACCTATAATCAGCCTAGAAGGTTTTAATTAAATGAACAAATCAGTATCTTTCAGGATAATGAAGGCAGGAACAGAACCTTCCGGGCACCACGGTGGCCATTCTCCCTGGAGCCAGATGTCAGCTCACCAGCCCCGTCCCGGGAAAGATCTGGGAAGTGAAGTTCCCCTTCTCCAGGCTTGGGAAAAACTCACAGCAAGTCTGCTCACCCCACTTCTGTCTGCGTTCAGGGATGTATGTATCCTCTATGTACCAGGAGTCCTTATGTGTGCCCAATCTCCCCCCACTACACATCCTCAGCAGGCAGGTTGCCCTGGGTCAGAGGGAAGAAAATCCACTCTTCCAATGGCTGAAGGCACTGATCCAAAACCCAAACCAAATCTGTTGCCGTTGAGCTGATCCCGCCTCGTAGCTACCCTGCAGGACAGAGCAGAACTGCCCCAGAGGGTTTCCAAGGCTGTGAATCTTTACGGAAGCAGACTGCCACTCTTTCTCCTGCGGAGTGGCTGGTGAGTTCAAACCGCCGATCTTTCACTTAACTGCCGCACCACCAGGGTTCCTTAAAGGCACTGATAGGTGGCACAAATGGTTTGCAAATGACTGCTAACCTAAAGGCTGGCAGTTCGAACCAAGGAAGAAGAGGCCTGAGATCTGCTTCCATTAAGATTACAGCCAAAAAAAGTCTATGGAACAGGTCTCCTGTACTTTTACACAAATAACACATGCCTTCGACGTTTGTTTGCCAATCATGCCCCCCTGCCCCAGGTATTTTTGTAAGCACGCTATGCTAATTTCTTTTACAGCAACATGTAAAAAAACCTGGCATAGTGGCACTTAGGAAAACACCTCATGGGGGGAAGGTGTGGTTGGCAAACAAACATAGAAGGCAGGTGTTATTTGAGTAAAAATACGGTACTCTGTAACACGCAGGATCACCATGAGTTAGAGTCAACTCAACATCAACTAACAACTATAACCGATGACTAAGGAATGTTTATTATTATTATGGTAACCCAAACATTGGACAATTCAACCATCTGCACAGGTACAGTTCAGTGACATTAATTACGTTTATCATGCTGTTCAATCATCACTCTTATCCATTCCCAAATTATACCATCACCCTCAACAGAAGCTCAATGTCCCCTAGCACTGAGTTCTCCTTTCCCCCTCCCTCCCACCCACCCCAGGTTATCACTGATAAATTCTGGTCTCTACACACTTGTCTATTCTAGATAGTTCATAGAAGTGGGATCATACAATATTTGTCCTTTTGTGACTAACTCACTCAGCATGTTTTCAAGGTTCATCCATGTATCACTGTCTCAGGTGACCACACTGGGTAGAACGAGCAGTCAGGGTTGGGGCATGAATTACCATTGCCCCCAGGTGCCTCACTTTCCCCTCATGCATCACACAGACAGGGAGGAGGTCCAGCGCTCTGGGGCGTGCAGGAGGGGACGGGGGATCACCTGGCTGGCTGTGACACCTTTCAATGCCCGTGCAGTGCGAGGCAGCACACAGAGAGAAAGTCTCATCCACTGGCAGTCCAGGTAGCCAAGGCGAAAAGTGTAGTTCCTGACGGCAGCTGGAGTTAAGCTCCAAATGTGAGCAGGCCCTCTTCTCAACTGCTGCAAGCATGTGGGCCAGGGAGGAACACACCAATCACAGAAGCTCCACATGTAATAGCTAAGCACCATTCCAGTGCGATGAGCTAAAGAGCAAGAAACTCCCAAGGTTGAGCATCTGACCCTGGTTCTAACCCAGGGGGGCGGCTCGTCTTTTCCCTTGCCCATCTCCCCCCGAGTCATCTGGAGAGCATTAGGTTCGCACAAGAAAGTGGCTGGAGCACAGTCTCCACCACAGGATGTGAACAGATTGCAGCTGTCCAACTTGGTTTCAAACAGATAACAATTATGGGCATTACATTAATAAGTTAATGAGACAATTACATGACCAAACGGCTGCCCAACAGCTTGCTTTTAATCAAGAACTGCTTGGCCTATGCTATATCCACTTGCGAGCTCCCAGCCCAGGCTTTGCAGGGAAAATTAAGTTCCTGGAATCCTCGGGGCTCCAAATGCACATGTTTGGCTGCTGTCCTTTGACTGAGACGTGGAGCTTCAGCTCCAGTAGGTACGAGGTGACAGTGATCAGGCGGAAACACTTGTGCTCTGATTCAGCTGCTCACACCAGTTTGCTCAACGACGTCCTCAGGGCCAGATACCTGCGCAGGGTACGGTGTCATCTGTGCAGGGGGCCTCCACTTGTCTCCATGGAGTCAGGAGCCAAGGCCTAAAAGGACCAATCATTGTCACGTCTCTGGGTTGGCGTTGCTGCGTGCTGATCAAGGGGCTGTTCCTAATAATGATGCGTTTTCAGTTTCCACCGATTATCTCTCTCAAAGCACATCCTGAGAAGAGCGTTCACCCTTGCAGAATCCACGTCCGTCTCTCCTCTCCAAACCTGGTGCTACCATCCATCAGCTGTCCCATGTGCTAAACTCACACCAGGGCACCACGAGTCTACAGTTCCTCTCCTGCCTCCTCTACACGCTCTCGCTACTGCTGCCCGTGGGTTCCTTGTGGTTCTTCCTCAAAAACGACAATCACAGCTAACAACCAGTGAGCGCTGGCGGTGTCCCAGGCACAGCACTGAGTGCTCTCCAGGCTGTAGCTCTCTGAACCCTCACGACCACCTTGTGAGTTGAGAACTAATGCTATTCCTGTCTTACAGTCAAGAGCACTGGGGCACAGAGGGTTAGGAAACACACCCATGGCCATGATGGGCACGGCTGAGGCCCACGTTTTAAAGCACTGAGCAGCACTGCCACCCTCGGTGGGTGCACTGAGGCTGCCTTCCGAGATGACGCGCTGTGACCCCAGGCCCAGAGAGCAGCTCCCTGGCCCACACAGTACAAATGGAGCTTGGCAGCTGCCTGCTGGGCTCGCAAATCCCAGAACGTGTGTGGACACAGTCAGAGATACGGCTGGATTGATTCATCGACTAACATAGCAACAAAAAATATTTGCTTGGCTGTTGCTGTGTGCTAGGCTTGGCCCTAGCAGGGTGCAAAAGGATTAGGATGCCCCCACTCCTGCCCCCAAGATGCTCAGAGGTCACCAGAAGGCCTACGGCATGGGAAACTTAGCCATTAGTACAGTTAGCTATAATACAGTGAACCACCAAGAAATGGCGCAAACGGAGGCTCCGGTGGGCTGTGCTAGGCTTTCTGCAAGATAGGGATCTGGGCAAAAAGGGTGGAATTAAAAGACAATCCCCCTGGGGTCCAGCGTGGATACTTGCATTCTTCAGGCAACTTGCTGGGGAGAGACAGGAAGAAGACGTCACCCACAGAGTGAACGCACCTGAGGAAATTAAACACGCAGAAGACGAGGTTCTTCAGAAGCAGGTCACGGAGGGCCAGGCTTAAAGAACGCACAGCTGGTGCCCACTTCTTCATGAATAAGCAGCAGGACGGACCAAGGTGGAAGATTAAAGAGGCAACGCTTCAGCCGTCACTTCCTCAGGCAGACGCACACACTACTGCTGCCCCCACACCGTTGAAGCAGGACCCAGGGAGTATTAACTCTCTTCACGCAGATTGTAAAGGGTTGGCCTGGGCCTATGAGCGGCAGACATACGTCTGCGCTTCACTTACAGAGGGAACTTCCTGAGGGTTTCAGAATGTCACGTTTGTCATGAAATCACTTCTCTGTCTTCCGGAGTCTGGAATGTTCTCTCTTTTCTTCAAGCTAACGCTGGCCAAGTGGTTATTAATTTAGAATGGCCAAGAAGAGCCAGGATTTCAGCAAATGCAGAAGTTGCCACTGGAACAGTCACTGTTTCTGGGGCTGAGACACTCCCAACTGTAAAGCTGCCAAATGGAAAAGTGGAACCTTTGACAGAGACCAGGGGCCACTGGTTAATGGACCTGGATGTACCCAAGGGTCCTAAGGCGTCTGGGTGTCCCCATCGCGGGGTCTTCAGGGTTCACTGGGGGTGGACAGGGATGCCAGCAAATCAGCTCTCACCCACTGGCAACTAAGGACAAGCAGGCTGGCAGACGTGACCGAGTCCTGCGGGACTTTTCAGTGGGATGTTCTTTAGTCTTCAGTTCAAGTTATTAACAAACCTCCAACTGCTCCTTTTTGGTTTCGCAAACTGAAGCAAGATACAATATAGAATAAAATGTTGCTGTTGTTGGTAGGTGCTGTTGAATCGGTTCCAACCCACAGCGACCCCGTGTACAACAGAACGAAACACTGCCCGCTCCTGCGCCGTCCTCACAATCGTTGCTATGTTTGAGCCCATTGTTGCAGCCACTGTGTCAATCCATCTCATGGAGGGTCTTCCTCTTTTCTGCTGACCCTCTACTTTACCAAGCATAATGTCCTTCTCCAGGGACTGGTCCCTCCTGATAACATGTCCAAAGTATGTAGAATAAAATGTAGATAAGTACAAACAAAGAGGGCCAAACACGGCTTTTTAAAATTGGATTTCAGCAATTCTCAGTCTGGGTTTAACATAGCTCATGGTTTCCTTTACTTCAAGGCCTAAGAGAAATGCACATCCTCTTTGTACTATCTCTGGCCTTCCAGGCCACAGGGCTCCTGCTCACAGCTCAGGCATCTGACCCCAGCCTCTGTCAGTGACCCTGCCTCACATCAGCACCACGGGTGGTCCTGCCCAATACCCTGCCTGCCCTACCCTGGGCCAATCACATCAGCATCTCTTCACTGAGACTTGGGAGCCAGTATTTTACAAACCCAACATATACACAAACAACTCTCCAGGGGACCTTCATGCCCACCAGGACTGAGACCTAGTTCTAACACCTATGATGTCTTTGGACAATTCTGTGTGTCTCCTCTCTGCTTGAAAACATCTACCTGGCTCTCCACTGATGGCAGAATCAAACCAAGAAGGCTTTGCAGGCATTCAGGGCCCTGGCCAACCTGACACCCCTGCAGATTCGTCTCCTCCTGCCCTAGCTGCATACATATACACACGCACACGCACACACGTGCGTGCACATACACACTTGGGTCATGTGGAGCTACTCTTGGGGTTCAGATTTGTGGGGAGCAAGCCAGGCCCTCTCCTGCGCCACTCCTGGTGCTCAGCTTTCAGAGTTCCCTGGCCGCAAAGACTCGCCGGCCCCCAGGAAGCGACTCCTCTCCTCTGCCGCCCCCTCATCGTACTTGATTCACAGCATCAGCACAGCTGCTACTGTGCGGGACCACGCTAAGCGCTCTGTGCGCCTGCTGCCCCGCTGCCCTGCGCGCCCCTCCAGCAGAGGGACCGCGCCTGCTTCATCCTGGATGCCCGTGCTTGCTACATCCACAAGGCTTTGTAGAACGGAGCTGAATTTCTGGAAGAGCCTTTGCTTCCATTTTTCTGAAAACTTAATTTGAACACAAGAATCGTTTGGAAACAATGCTTTTGCATATGTGTAAAATGGAGCTGATTCACAGGATCCTGGCTGTGAAACGCTCAGCAAGCTGCTGTAGGTCGCTTTTTCTTCTCACGCTGGCCCTGCAGGCAGGAGGCAGGGGACTGCTGAGAAGTGTGGCTGCTTCAGGACGAAGGGTGCTGGCCTTTGCTGTACATGAGAATCACCCGGGAGCTTCTGAAGATGCTGAGGCCCAGGCCCCACCTCAGAACCCAGGCACCAGTGCTCCTGAAGGTTCCCCAGGCAATCCCATGAACAGGCAGATCTCAGAACCTGTTTCAGGCTGAGAGGGATCCACATCAGATAGCTCTCTCTCCTATACCATGTATGATTGAAGGACAGGGGTTTGGACAGGTGGTGTAAGGAGAAGTTGGTCAGCAAACACCCCCCAGGACCAGACTAGATTCCAGGGTCTCTTCCAGCTCTGGAATCACCTTTGTGACAGGTGAACTCCTGACCTATTTGCTCCCAGGACACGACTTTCCAGTAGCTGACTGGGCCGAAAGCCAAATTCTGTGTCTCCGGACAGTGTAGCCCAAGGGTCCCCTGTAAGTGAGCGGCTGCCCTCCCGTCACAGTGGAGCAGGGCTGCACAAGCGTCTCTGGCTGTCGATGGGTGGGCAGGATCCCTGGTAAGAGGCCCAGCTTAGGAGTTCTCGAAAGGGTCGGACGCAGCTATGGAGTTTGGATCTACATGGGAGACTGGAGTCTGCCTGCCCAGAAGACAGTCCAGAGGTAAAGGTAGCCCTGAGGCCACCACGGTCCAGAAAGTCCTGGGTGGGGGCTCCTGAAGCTGCCCAGGACCAGGAATTATATGCTCAGAGGAAGGGAAGCTGCGCTGCAGCCCAGGGCCCAGGGTAGAACTTTCGTCTCCCTGCTGAATCAGATGAGGTGCTCCTAATTCCCTCAACCTCATTTCCAAACATTTACACGATTTGAGTGATTCAATTACCCAAAAGAGAACTTACCTTGTCAACGTGATTAGCGATCTCTATTAGTCGCTGCTTGACTTTTTCCAGATCTTTTCTTTGCCTCTGAAACTTAACAATTTTAAATGGCAGCATTAACAACAGCAAGAATATCGATCAAATCTCATCTCCCTGGCTCCTGGGAAAATGAAGTCTTGGGCCTTACAAACCACCAGGGACCCTCCCCGGTTTAGGGTGAAAGGAGTTTGCATCCTGTCGAGTAATTTTCCGGACTGGGGACTCCCTGAAATTCCCTGAAAGTCGTTCAAGCCAAGTGCTCCTAAGACAGTAACTGCTGCTATTTTTCCAGCCTCATAAATGATGAAGGCAGTGACATGTTTTGGCAAAGAGAAAACAGACAACTAGCAGCTAGCCCAAAGCCATTTTTCATATCATCAGCTTGATTCCCACTTCCTGACAAATTTTCTTTTTTATTTGAGTTTCAAACATTAAACAGTAAAAGCCATGGAAGCTCGTGGCAACAAGGCAACCAGTGCAGAGGAGACCAGATCAAAAGTCGGTCATGGATCCCCCTTCCCTTCTCCCATCTGACCTTCCAGAATAGGAACGCTTTTCTGAGAAATGTTCAAAGCTTGTTTCACTCATATGTGGCGAAGGCCACCTAATCTTAGGTCTGTGAGAAAATGTCACTGAATTCATACTATGTAATAGGAGCCCTGGTGGCGCCATGGTTAAGTGCTTGGCCGCTAACCTAAAGGATGGTGGTTCGAACTCACCAGCAGCTCCACGGGAGAAAGGACTGGTGATCTTCTCCCGTAAAGATTACAGCCTTGGAAACCCTATGGGACAGTTCTGCTCTGTCTTATAGGGTCGCTATTAGTCAGAATCAACCTGACAGCACACAGCAACAAGTAGAGGGTATCAGTGAATACCGAGAAAATAATTTAAAAACTGAATTCAACAAAAAGCTAATATAATATCAGCCCATACCACAGAGAGTAAGGTTTTCCTGCTCCATCTTGACCATCTTCTTCTTTCATTTGTTTTGCTTAGTTTCGGTCGTATCAGACATGTTTTTAAACTAAACTTTTCCCCGAACTATTTTAGAACACAACCTAAAGCCATCTTTCATTTCCCTCAAGCAATACCCCCCGTCGCCGACTGAAGAGCTTAGTACAGGGCAACCCTTGCCTTTTTGGCAGTCTTTGCTATTATTTTATATTATCAGATAACACATTTTTAATATCTCACATTTAATAAGACCAGAAAGCCATTTTTTCGGTGAGTTGTTTCCAATACGTTAAGGACTTGTAGAAAATGAGGTTGATCAAAACCAGTAATAACTTGCTAACCGTTTTCTTTTTTCTAACTAACCGTTTTGAGAAATTTCAAAACGTCCTTACCTCTCGGTTGTCTGCCACAATGACCAGCTCTACGTACTTGGTCATCTTGAGGGTCTCTCTTTTATACTGCCGAAAGGAAACATGAAGTTAATTTCCCTGAAAGCCCCCCTGGGCCTCCAGGCATTGGGCAACATCTGCCGATCCAACCACTTGAACTAAAGTGAGTCTCTATCCCCACACCCTCTTTCTATCTAGAAGTTCACCACCTCACCCGTCTTTGCGTAAAGCCCTCTTAACATGAGTGATGTGTTTCCACTTCCTTCTGGGGAATCCTTAAACAGAAATTTAACGTTTCTGCTGTGTCACTGATGGTAGGATCAGAAAAAGTCAAGACCATTATTAAACAAAGCAAGCAGATAAACAAACTTAAGCTCTTTCTAAACAGGAGCCAGCCAATGGCGGTTCACCTCAGGCCATATGCAGCACATTTAAAGATCACTAAAGAACAGGCTGCTTCTTCCAGACAGTCCTACTGGGATGCAGCATCTCCAGTGTGTTCCCTCCACCTTCATGGTCTAAATAAATGGACCTGCTTTGGGCTTCAGAAGATGGAGGGGGCCATGTTTTGAGCAGGAACTGTGTAACTCTTCTGGGGAGACCCTGAGTCTGCACCTGGGAGCTGCTTCTTGTGGCTGATCATTTAAAAATCCAATCAGAAGCGAAGGAAGACTGAGGTAGTCTGGAGAAAAGGGCTCGGCAAAGGGAAAAATCCACATTGCTGAAGAGAGACGCAAGAAGATTCTAGGAGGAAACCAGAAAGGAACAAAAAAGAAAGAGAACAGGAAGAAACAGTGCCAAAAAGAAAAAAAACCCACCCTACGCCACTGGAGAAAAGAGCTTTAGTAAGAGTGAGATAGTTAAGAAGAGCGTTGAAATTTGATATCAAGGTATGGGAATGGTGAAGATTCAGGCAGGAAAAAATAGGAACGCTATCCCAAATAAAGGCAACCTCTGAGGTGGGTTACATTTTAATCAAGCCTCCTCAAGAAGCATTAGTGCTCTGCCGTGGATTACTGGGAGAACCCCAAAGGCATTTTTAGGAGGGTAGGGGAAGAAATTCATGGAGGGTGGTCTCCCAAAACAAACACTAAAAACAAAAAAAAACCCTTCTGTTTCTGCAATAAAATGTAGTGGGAGGAAAAAAAACAAAAACCATTGCCGCCGAGTTGCTTGTGACTCATAGTGACCCTATAGGACAGAGGAGAACAGCCCCATAGGGTTTCCAAGGAGCAGCTGGTGGATTCGAACTGCCGACCTTGTGGTTAGGAGCCAAGTTCCTAACCACTGCACCACAAGAGCTCCACAGGGGGAGGAAAGGGGCTTCAACTGGTTCTTGGGACTGATAGTGCTGGTTTACGAGTTAACTACATGTACTGTTTCAAGTTTAAAACCCACATGCTATCATCACTCAGACAAAAGCAAAGATGACTAAAGCGTGCTTTCAGTCGGGTTTCCAGTCACATAATCCTGAGGGAACCATCAACATCTTTTATAAAACAAATCCTCATCAGTCCAGGATCTTCCAAACAGATTTTTATAGGAGAAATGTTTGTATCAGAGCAGGGATCCTCCTTGCTGCCCAGCTGTGCTGAGTCATGGATTTAGTATCCCTGAAGAAATCTGGAAACCTCACGGAGGAAGGAAAAAGAAAGCGCCGGGAGAGATATATTTTCTCATACTTTTACAATGTTGCAAGAAAAAAAATGCCAAGCTTTGTGCTTTGGGACCGTATGTTGTAGGCGTGTTTGATGGTGATAACAGCGTACTTACAAAGGGAAAATAAATTAGCCCAGGGGCACCCAATGGTGCACGCAGAACGAGAAACCTTTTGAAAATGTGAAGATCTTGTCCCTTTTCTCTATTGCGGTGTGAAAGACAGAGCATTCTCTCTTGACCCTACAATAATTCCCTGACCTCTGACCATGAACAAACCGACCTAGTTATGCAGGAGAAAGTATAGCTGTAAAAATAAGAAAATAAATTAATCTCCACGGAAAAACTTATTGAAAGACTTCACACTATTCCAACCGCTAAGGGGTGAAATAAATGACTCGACTAGAGGGTATTTCCAACCGGCCTTGGATCGTCATGTAGAAAACACACCATTCCAGATAATGAAAACAAACACGTGACCGCAATTTCCCCGTCTCTGCAGTTTTCAGAGAAGCCCGCATTTTCCCATGAATTCAGGGAATTGCAAGCTCAGAGAGAAGCTAACCACACAATAATAAAAGTATGGGGGAGTGGCCGGCTCATGGCCTTGAAGGTTCACTCTCCCATCAGCAGCACCCACAGAGAGGCTTCAATTACCTCCACATCATTTTGACCTATCTGGGCTATCCAGTTAAAAAAATAAAAATCCTATTTTTTGATTATTTAGTTCTGCTGCACGTATTCTGATGTCACATGTTTATACTGAACTGTAGTTATTAACTGCCATTGAGTCAATTCCAACCTACGGCAACTCCGTGTGCATGGAGTGCAGCTGCTCCATAGGGTTTTTAAGGCTGTGATCTTTCGGAAGCAGATTGCCAGGCCTGCCTTCCAAGCTGCCTCTGGGAGGGTTCGAACGCCAACCTTCTGGCTAGCGGTCGAGTGCTTAGCTGTTTGCATCGCCCAGGGATTCCTGCATATTTTTTATTCGTGATATGGAGAGCAACATTTAAAACTAGTTGCTAGATGAAATTTTCATTTTGTGGGTTATGAACGAAACTGGTTTCCCAAACAGATAGAAACACAAGCCCCTGAGAATGGCCCAATGGTCCCGGCTCCATGGTGGAGAAAGGAACATTCTTGGAGCCTTCATCAGGCCGGAACCAGCTCCTGGGTTTCTCCAAGTCATTACAGCCAAGTTCCCAGAGATGGAATATTCCCCAGATAGGCAGCCTGCAGCGAGAAGCCTGTCACTGGGAATTTAACTCAACCCAACTCCAGTCAGAAAAGCAAGTTGAGACTGGTGTTCCAATAAATTCTCCTTGCAACTCCTTCTTCATATAGGCTGTTGTGCTGTGTGCCACCAAGTTGATTCTGACTCATAGTGACCCTATAGGACAGAGTACAACCATCCCATAGAGTTTCCTAGGCTAGGTTTTTCTCCCACAGAATTGCTGGTGGGTTCGAACTGCTGATCTTTTGGTTAGCAGCTGACTGCTTAACCACTGTGCCAACAGGGCTCCTTTTTAGATGGGCTAGACCATTTGTATATCACTCCTTCAACCCACAAATGTCTGCTGGGAGCCATCTTTGTGCTGGGCACTGCGCTGGGTGCTGGGGATACAGGGATGGACAGGAAATCCAACTTTACTGTCCTCATGAAGCTTACATGCTAACGGGGGCTTGGGGGAATTCACAATAAAGCACAGACTGTGAAAATGCAATGAAGGAAATAAACAGCGTTCCCCCATGAGGATAAAGATGGAGGGAGCAGTAATTTAGCTGAGAGCTGAAGGATGAGAAGCAGGTATTCATGGGGCATAAATACCTAATGTTTCAGGTAGATGGACTACGAACAGCAGAAATCCTGAGCCTAGTGGAGAGCTTGGAATATTCTAACAATAGGCAACATGGCAGAGGCTAGTAAGTGGGGGTGGGGAGAGTGACTAAGATGAGGCTGAAGACATGGACGGGGCCATGGTAAAGAGGATGAGTGGCAATCTAAACCAATGGAGCCCTTGAAGGGTTCGTTATTTAAAGATATCACTCTGGCTGCTAAGAGGAGAATGGATTATAGGGTGAGGAGAGTGGAAGCCAAGAGAGCAGACGGGGCCATACAGCTGTCCGGTGAGAGCTGGGGACGGCGTGTGGCAGTAACCATGGAGACGGGCAACTCGGTTCAAGTCAGGAGAGGAATAACCGAACAACAGCCAGGCGACACCAATCAACCGCCCCAAACATGGGGCCGCGGCCAACGTTTCCACCGCTTGTGAGATCAGCATATTAAATGAATCAAAAGCTTCATTTATCTTCCTCTGAGCAAGGAAAAATCATTATGAGCTCAAAGGAGGCTCCCTGCCTTGCCTCTAAGGTCAGCTTGTGCATATTTATAAAGTGAGCCCTGATCTCCGTCTGCTATGAAAGGTCACCCCCACCACCCCCACCGCGATGTGCATGGGGACGTTGCCCATGGATCATATTTGTGTGGGACCCAGCCTCTGACGCCTGGCTCACAGACAGGCTGGCAGAATTAACAAGCAAAAGGGACTGGGCTGAACAGGCTGGGTCTGACGAGCTGAACGTCACTAGGGAGAGATGTGAGGCACTGAAATTGAGTCCCAAATGCCAGTGGCACCACCGAGATCTGTTTTTTATTTGTGTACAAGTCTAGTGTTCTAATGGCTTCGAAAGTAAATAGGAGCCCACGCCTTGAGACTCTGCAGCCTCAGTTTACACTAACAGATGTTCAGAGCCCAGGGCCAAGGAAGTTACAGAGGTGCTGCCCGTGCACCCCATCACCAAGCTTTAAGAACAAGCACGGTGACAGAGAGCTTGATGTTGTCTCTTACAGGAGGGATGGAAGGATGTGAGGATGATTACCTTAGAAAGGAATGGAAAATGTCTGCTATAATTAATGAGTTTTCAAATGGCTCTGGCCAGTTCCTGATATTCAACTATTGCTGGGCTCTAGATACCTTACTGGACTCCCTGGTGGTGCAAATGGTTAACATGCTTGGCTACAAGCCAAAAGGTTGGAGGTTTGAATCCACCCAGAGATGCCTTGGAAGAAAATCTTGGCAATCTACTTCTGAAAAAAATCAGCCATCGCAAACCCTATGGAGCACAGCTGTACTTGGACATGCATGTATTGTCATGAGTCAGAGTTAACTCAGTGGCTACTGGTTCGATACCTTAGTATTACTATTACTACTACCACCCCCATTACTGACTCTCATTACACAACCCCTGTGGAGAAACAAAAGCAATGAATAGCACTAGTTCATCTCAGAAGGCTGCATTTGAGGAAACAACAGGATCTCCCAGCCTCGCTGTCCGATTGGTGCTCAGTAATCCAAGCAAACATTTCTTTCGACAGAAGGCATCCACTTTTACGTTTGACTCATAATTATCCATACTAATGGAGGGGAACAATGGCATAGAAGAGGGATATCCCAAAGAAGGGATAACTCAAAAGTAACCTACCCTTGCCCTTGGGATATAGTACATCATTTTCTCGAGCAGCAGTTCTCCTGCCTTCACCTGCCTTCTAGCTTGCTGAGGCTAACGCTCAAATGTTCTGCAATCTTGAATGCACAGTACGTGAAGACGGAAGGAGTTTGTCACAGGTGGACTGAGTGCCAGGGGCCCTTCAGGCTGGAATTACAAACCCGTAGAAGAGAGAACGACGAAGCTCCCTGTCTTTCCATGCCTCTCCACGAGTAACGTGGGCTCTTACTACAATCCAAGATAAAATCCAAAAAACCAAACCCATTGCTGTCCAGTCGATTCCGACTCATGGCGACCCTATAGGACAGAGTAGAACTGCCCCGTAGGGTTTCCAAGGCTGTCAATCTTTACAGAAAAGCAGACTGCCACATCTTTCTCCTGAGAAGCAGCTGGTGGGCTCAAACTACCGACCTCTCACTTAGCAGCAGAGTGCTTTAACCACTGCAGCACCAGAGCTCCTTCAATCTAACACAGAGCCTTGTAAAAATGACAAACAATAGCCCAAGTTCATCCTACAGCCCTGAGTCTAGATTTATCCCCACTGCTCCGCGAAGAAAAACGCAAACATATGCGGAGAGACGGCAGTCTCCAAACCCATATTTGAAATAGTTAATACTTAGTGGGGGCAGGAAAATGCTAGAAAAAAGCAAATCCAGTTGCTGCATTGCATAAATAAGATGAGTTAGCAGCACTCACACTGATTTTTAGTATAAAATAAAGGCAGGTAATTGAGGCAGGTAAGGGGCACATAACTTGAATATACCCCTTTCATATTTACCACAGATACCATCCAAAACAATCTTCTGTATAATTTCAATCCCCAAGTGTTCCACTCATTTGAAAATTACTTTTCGTGACATTTTCATTATATAGATGTACTTTAAGTCATGGACATTTTCTCTCCTGTAGAAGAAACTATTTCTAGAGAGAAATACTGCGGGCCAAGTTGAAGTGCATGAGAAGCTTTCCCTTTTCCATTTAAAGGTTCATTTACATTTCAATATGTATTATTAACAAAACAACACTGTTATTCAGGTTCCTGCCATTTCCATGTAAGTCAAACTGACTGGAAATTACGGTGCCAATCATCGTTCTGGAGAGCTCTAAGCTTACTTAAAGAATTAAAATATGACTGGCAGGTACAGGCCACGCTCCTACTTCTAAATGAAATGGCAAAAATATCTGCGTGTCGTTTAAACTGTCAAGTTATAAATCTCGTAACATGAAAAACTTGTATTCAACAAGGTACTCAAGGCAAAGAGCCTCAAAAAATCAAATGAAAATGTTATTTACTTGTTTATGGCTGGTGAAGCTACAGCTGAATCACATCTTCTCCCAGGTCTGAAATCCAAGAGTGTTTGAAGAGTAAAATAAACACGTGGTGGGACCCCAGATGCTGGTCTTTGAAGTTTCACTCTGAAATCACTGACTCTCAGATGTGGCGGGGGAGGAAAGCAGGATGTTAGACCCTCCTGAGTTGGGGAGGAGGGTGCCTTCCAAGTTATTATGTCCTGCTCCCTGGGGTTTGGAGACAGACTCCCCTCACCCCATTACCGTCAAGTCAATTTTGACTCACAGCGACCCTACAGGACAGAGCAGAACTGCCCTATCGGGTTTCCAAGGCTGTAATCTTTACGGAAGCAGACTGCCACATCTTTCTCCCAGGCAGCAGCAGGTGGGTTTGAACCGCTAATCTTTTGGTTAGCAGCCCAGTGCTTAACCACTGCACCACGAGGGCTCCTTACAGACTCCCCCAGCGAGCATCATGTCAAAGTGAGCCACGGTACCTGATGGGTGTGTGCGTGCCCCTCTTGTGGGATGGGACAGAAAAAGAAAAAAAAGGTCGTGAGCACCTGCCACAGAAATTTTGGGAACATACTGTTAGGGACTGAGCTGTGTCCCCCCGAAATATGTGTTGGAATCCTAAACCCTATACGTGCTGATGTAATCCTGTTCAGAAACAGGGTTTTATTTGTTATGTTAATAGGCCATATCAACATAGAGTGTGTCCTAAGCCTACCATGTTTTTATGAAAATAACACGTCCTCTACCTTTGTTTGCCAACCATGTTCTCCCCCCACGAGGTATTTTTTTAAGTGCCACTATGCCAACTTTTTTTTCACACGTTGCTGTGAAAAAATTAGCATAGCATGCTTACGAAAATACCTCATGGGGGGAGGGTGCGGTTGGCAAACAAACGTAGAAGGCATGCATTATTTGCGTAAAATACGGTTAATCACTTCTGTGTCATAAAAACAGCAGATTAGACACAGAGGTGAGCATGTACAGGAATGACAGATGTCACGTGAGAGTCGTCTACCAACCAAGGAACCAAGAACGTCCAGGCTACTAACAAGGAAGGAGTCGACATGGCTGAGACCCTGGTTTGACTTTTAGCCTGAGAATTGTGAGAAAATAAGTCTCTGTTGTTTAAAGCCACCCTCTTGTGATGTTTCTGTTACAGCAGCACTGGGTAAGGAAGACACACAGAACAGAACAGGAAGTTAGGAACACACAGGCAGAATACCTCGACAGGCAGAATGAAAAGTGAAATTAAAATAAAAAGTTCTGGCAAGGTGTAGAGTAGGTGAGAACGGGTTAGGGGAACACACACCTATCAGCAGCTTAAGAGGGAAATTTTAAGAATCAAAAAAAATCATTTAGGATAGTCCTTACTGTTTGATTTAAAAAAAAAATGATCTGGAATGAACCAAGAGGACCAATATTCATGAAAGACTGACCTTTAAGCAGGGATATACATAAATAAAAGTTAGGAAAGACAAAACATGCTGATGGCAACCTTGAAGAACATACATGCAGACAGTCATCTGGAAGCACAAGGGAAACTCTATCTGTGAATTTTCTTGATTCCTTGTCAACAGAGGAACAGGGAAGCCTGAGATGAAGAATCAGGAAATAGTGAACATCATTTCCTATCGGGAAGCACTCATTCCAATTCAAGGCCTTTAAGTCAAACACCAAAGAGCCCTGGCGGTATAGTGGTTAAAGTGCTCGGCTGCTAACTGAAAGGTTGGTGGTTTGAACCCACCAACAGCTCCATGGGAGAAAGATGTGGCAGTCTGCTTGCATAAAGATTACAGCCTCGGAAAATCCTATGGGGCAGTCCTACCCTGTCACGTGGGGTCGCTGTGAGTTGGCACTAACTCGACAGCATACAACAACAAATCAAACATTGGGAAGGAAGATGCTCTCTGCTAATTATACTCTGCTGAGCTCTGTGTAGCCCCAAGCAGCCATGTGTGGGAGAAGCTACAAGATGTTTCACAAGAAGTGTCTGGACAGCTATGCTTCTGTCCACTACACAGGAAGGACTCCATTAGACAGTTACCCTTTCCAGTAGCAAAAGGGAAGAAGCTTTATGAGTAGAAGACCCAGGGGCAGGAGGCAGAAAACCGCCTGCTTGGACAGTCCCCAGAGGGGAGTGAGGACAGCATTCACAGCACTGGCTGGCAGTCAGCAAAACTCTCAGCAACTCCATGTGGACAAAGATTCAACTCACCTCCGGGCAAAGACTACAAATTTTCTGCCAATTGTAACGAGGACCCTAACTGTAAAAGCGACTTGCTAATAAAGAAATCTCTATATTGTCTTCGCCCCAGGAGAACAAGGGCTGCCTGAGAGTCGCAGGGTCCATTCTAGTCTTGTCCACCATGGTGGGCCCACCTCTGGGTCTAGGCCCACAGTAGGTTCTCATTAAAGATTTAACAAACGTTTAATGTTGTCATCCTCTGACCCTGACTAAGTGTGGCTTTAGCCAGCATATCTGAAATGAGTCAGAGGCCGGCAATTGCAATACCAGTGATGGAGGTTTCAATATTTGGCCATGCTCCGCCCACATGATGCCAACCACTCCCAGACCAAACAGGGGCTTCTGTCACTCAGACACAGCGTGCAGATGGCAGAATTTCCCTAGATGTCCCAGCACTGGGTGTCCATATCTTGAGACCTGGCTCCCCAGAAACATGAAATTGGGCTTCCTCCTACCCTGTTTGCCCGCATCTGGGAGGGTGGCTGGAGCAAGTTATCCGCAGTGAGGCCCGAGGTGTTCCAATGTGATCCACAAGATCCCAGGATGCTCTTCAGACTCTCCGCTGGGTAGAGCTTGTATCTATTGGTTGTATTTTTCATCGGTTCTAAGATATAGGTTTTATTTTCAAACATAATAAGTCCCCTATTGAAAAAAAAAATAAGGAAAAAACATACCTTTTAAGAGCAGCTTCTTGTTTATGGCTAAGACACAGTTTTGTTTTTTTAAATTGTACTTTAGATGAAGGTTTACAGAGC